CTGGCTCCAAATTTTTTACTGTAATTGACTTACTCAGTGCATTCTTTAATATTCCAGCTGATGAAGCTAGCCAATACTCTTTTGCTTTCACTGGGGAATATAAACAATGCCCTGGACAGTAATGCCTCAGGGTCTTACCCAGAATCATTCTTACATATCACAAATTCTGCAAGTTGGTCTGGATGATATAAAGTTCCAGAGGGGTTCTACTTTGTTGCAATATGTGGGTGATTTGCTTCTTTGCACTTTTTTACAAGCCTTCTCACAGGAAAAGAGCACCTACTTGCTAAAGCTTTTAGCCTTAAAAGGGCATGAGGTTGCCAAGAAAAAACTGCAGTTTGATCTGATTACCAGAACAAGGGCTACACTTGGGTCCAATCAGACTTACGGGTGTCTTAAGTTTCCCAAAACCCAAAACTAAGCACCAACTGAGAAGTTTTCTTGGGCTAGTTATTGCCAAAATGAATTTCAAATTTCTCTCTTATGGCCAAACCAATGTGTGTTTTACTAAAGAGTAACATCACTGACCCAGTTTTATGGGGTGAACTAAATGGCATAGCCTTCAAAGCCTCAAAAGAGGGTTTGATGAACCCATCTGCCCCTGGACATCCCAGTTATCAGATTCCTTTTTGTATATGAAAAGGAAGACAATGCTCTTAGGCTACTGTCTCAAAAACATGGGGACCACGTTTGACCCATAGGTTATTAGAGCCAGTAGTTGAACCCTGTGATATGAAGATACTCCTGTCTTAGAGATATTACTGCCACTGCCCTTTTGGTCAAGGACACTGAGAAAATCACTGTGGGTTCCCCTTGAGACATTTTGTACTTCACACAAAAGTTCTGAATTCTCATCGCAAGCCCTGTCTGGAACTTCACATCATCTGGAAATCTGAAAGTAAAGAGTTCCTAGAACTGAAGCAGATGACATCTGATGAGATAGACTAGGATATAAAGACCAGGCCTATTGAAAGTTTGTCATGGAACCTTTGATCAGGACATAATGTTTCCAATGATTGCCAATATCAATGATCTTGATAACGCATGGACTTTAGATAAAAGGCACCTGAGAGTTCTCTCTCCTACCCCTTCTAGTTACTTGAATATTATCTCAGAAGATTTCCAGTCTGTGTCCTTTCCCTCTGACAGGATGCACCACACCTAGGAAAGCTCTTTCCTATCATTTAGGAACAAAAAGTCCATGAAACTGGAAAAACCTGGTTTCTGTGATGCTTTCAGAGATAAATCTTGATCAAAAGGGAGAACTGTAACAAATTAACAAGTGAAAACCTAATTACTATACTTAATTGGAGTCTGGAGACCAGAATAGGGAGCTCTCACGCCCTGTGATGATAGCTGAGTCTAACAGGAAGAAAAATAGACCCCTTTCCTGGCAACAACTCAGCCAATGAAAAGCATGGAACATCTTATCTCATATTCTCTTGTCTCCAAACTGGGGTTTCATTTCATTGGATTTCCTGGTTCCCAGGCATTTAGACTCAGATTGGATGGCAATGTAGGACTTCTCAGTCTCCTCCATTCATGTGAGTCAATTCCTATAGGTTTTGTTTCTCAGGAGAACCTTGACTTAGAGGCTTACAGGGAAGATAGTGATTTTGGAACAAGAATCGAGGGCTGGCAAACAAAAACTCTGGTGGGTACATGAGAGATTCTAGAAAATCTATGTGCAATAAGTGATGGAGGTCAATTAGTAGAAATTTAGTCAAATCAGATGCAGGGAAAAAAGAGAGAGAACAGGAGGAGCCCAGAGCTCTGATGGGGCAGAAGTAAGGGCAGACAGAAGGGAAGGGAAGGAAGTCACATGAAGGTTCTGTGGACCTGCAAGTGCTCTTATACAAACTGGTTGCTCCAGTCACTACAGGTTTGAAAGAGATTTATTTTTCTCTTAGTTACATAATGTAGAAAATGAAAATGATAACAAATAAAATCTTATACAATCAGAGTCAGAACTTCTGAGTTGAGATTCATATCTAATAATATTCTGATTGGTGACCCAAGTTTTGAGCTGAGCAAAGGACTGTAGGTAGGTAAGTTAGGTGCTTTTCTCCATTTATAAAATGGCTCTACTGCTTCATAGTAATTTACTTGGGCAAGTCTTTAACATCTCTTTTGTTTGTTGGCTTTTGGGATGGGGAGTCACTTCCTCCATAAATCTCTCCTCTGTTCTCCTCTGATGGGTATTTCTCTCATATTTTCTCATCACAGCCCATATTTCAATTATAACAGTATTTATTACACTGTATTAGCTTACTTGTCTGTATTTCATCATCTTTTTATGGGTGCATTAGTTTCCTAGGGCTATGATAGCACAGTACACAAACTAGGTGGCTTAACAGAAAATTTATTATCTCATAGTTCTATAGGCTAGAAGTTTAAATGTATTTATTTTACTTTTTGACCTCACCTCACAGCATGTGGGATCTTAGTTCCCCAACCAGGGATTGAAAACCTGTCCCCTGCAGTGAAAGTGTGGAGTCTTAACTGCTGGACCACCAGGGAAGTCCTGAGGTTTAAAATCAAGGTGTCAGCTGAGTTCTCTGAAACCGATATAGGGGTGAATCTTGCCTTGCCATTTGTAGCTTCTGATGTTTGCCAGAGATATGGACTTGTGGACATGGAGGGGGACGGAGAGGGTGGGACGAATTGAAAGAGACATATATACTGACATATATACGCTACCGTGTGTTAAGTAGATAGCTAATGGGAAACTTAGTCATGTATGGATGTGAGTTGGACCATAAGAAGGCTGAGCACTGAAGAACTGATGCTTTCAAACTGTGGTGCTGGATAAGACTCTTGAGTGTCCTGGGACAGCAAGGAGATCAGACCAGTCCATCCTAAAGGAAATCAGCCCTGGAAATTCATTTGAAGGACTGATGCTGAAACTGAAGCTCCAGTACTTTGGCCATCTGCTGCGAAGAACTGACTCATTGGAAAAGACCCTGATGCTGGGAAAGACTAAGGGCAAGAGGAGAAGGGGGCAACATGATGAGATGGTTGGGTGGCACCACTGACTCAGCGGACACGAATTTGAGCAAGCTCTGGGAGATGGCGAAGGACAGAGAGGCCTGGCATGCTGCGGTTCAAGGGGTCACAAAGAGCCAGACACAACCTAGGCACTGAACAAAAACGACAGTGGGAAGCTGCTGTATGACACGGGGGGCCCATCCAAGAGCTCTGATCACCTGGGATGGCGACTGGGCGGGCGGCTCAAGGAGGAGGGGGAGATATACACACACACACACATGTATATATATAAAGTGAAAGTCACTCAGTCGTGTCCAACTCTTTGCGGCCCCATGGACTATATAGTACATGGAATATTCCAAACCAGAATACTGGAGTGGGTAGCCATTCCCTTCTCCAGGGGATCTTCCCAATCCAGGGATCAAGCCCAGGTCTCCCACATTGCTGGTGGATTCCTTACCAGCTGAGCCACCAGGGAAGACCAAGAATACAGGAGTGGGTAGCCTACCCCTTCTCCAGGGGATCTTCCTGACTCAGGAATCAAACTGAGGTCTCAGGTGGATTTATCAGCTGAGATACCATATATAGATATAGATATCTGTATCTATCTCTATACACATATATACATACTATGGCTGATCCACATTGCCGTACAGCAGAAACCAACACAATGCTGCAAAAAAATACCCTCCAATTAAAAAATAAAATAAGAAAGAAAGAAGCCCTTTACATTCCATGACTTAAAGAGGCATCATTCTAATCTCGTCTTCTGTTGCCACATAACCATCTTTTCCCTGTCTCTCTCCTTTTCTTATAAAAGGACACCAGTCATATCACATTAAGCACACACCCTACTTCAGTATGACCTCATCTTCTTAATTGTTGCATCTGCAATGAGTCTATTTCCAAATAAGTTCACATTCCAGAGGCACAATTCAACCCATAACAGAGGACGAGGATTGTGTCTACTTCATCTTGTTTACATTTGTATCCTTAGCAATTATCCCATTGTCAAGCATATAGAATATGTTCTATTAAAATTTTAATGCATAAATGAATATGAATAGGGAAATAAGTTTGTACTAAGAAATCACATTCCACTCTCAAATTAAAGAAATTCATGTAGAGAGGGTAGAAAATCCTAAGGCCCTTCAAACTTCACAGTTGTGTGATTCTTTAGTCTCAACACTGGTTTGGTTTCAGCTATTTAGAAAAGGTCTATAAATAGAAATTGTGAACCAATTACATATTTGTAAATCCCAAATAGACAAGATGTATTTAAATACCAAAAGGATATCCTAGTACATAAATTTGTATGTCTATTATTTGAAATTTTAGGGGATTTCAGGGGTCTTTGCCCTGGGATCTTAAGTTGACTTGTTTTTAGGCTACTTAGAGGGCCAAAGAATCAATTTGAGTTGTAAGACTGACATCTTCTGGCTAGCACTGGAGAGTGCAGAAAGATTGAAACAGAAAGGGAAATAAATGGAGTCATTCTGGGTTTAACTGTTGGTTTAACTGTTTAACATTGGAGAGGAAAAAAATTAATATGTATATATATATGGAAATAACAGAAAGATATTCACAGGTACACAAATGCATTTTTTTTTTTAGAGAGAGAGAGTGAGCATATAGCTCATAATACAGATTTTGTGGAGTTCACCAGAATTGATTTTAGTCTTAAAGCAGAAAGTAAGGGAAAAATGTTACACAAATGAAGAGACCATTCAGGAGCTGAGCATGAGGAAATAGATTGAACACAAATATTCCTGATGAAAGACTAATGCTCTGGAGCTCTTATAGGAGATGTGGGAAAACTATGAGAGTCTTTGCCAATTGGACTCCTGTTTTATTGTGGATCCGAGGCAGAGTTATGGTTGGACGTGAGAGGTCTTACTAGGAGTTCCCATTTGTACTTTCTGCCATGTATGACTGGATCCCTTGCCCTGATTTCAGGAATACCATTGGGATAATTAGTCTTTCCTTTTTGAGACATGTGTGTCCTTTCTTACCGTTGAACTTATTCCCCAGTTTGTTGTTCTCCATCTCTCCACACTGTTTCAATTTTTCTTTCATGATGCTGCAGTGCAGAGTGCATTTCAGAACACAGAGGTGTCCTGAGTGTCCCTGATGCCTCCGTGCTAGCCACATCATTCCTTGTTTCTCTCGAGTCTGAAAGGAGGACAGGAAGCATATAGAACTATTGAGAATCGTTCATAGGTTGGGGGTGAGAGATGGAGGGGTTACAAAGTGATCAGCATGATGGACTGCGTTTATATCCTTGGAGCAGTGGAGATGGATTCAAGTGAAAAACTGGAAAGAATTAACAATTAATTATCTAGTCATTATTGTGGTAAGTGCTTCTAAGGACATACAGGGTACTAGAAAAGTATATAATAAGGAGTTCTGATCTAATTTAAATGGAAAGAAATATTTTCTAGACATAGAACATATAAGCTGATATAAAATGAGTAAGTGTACTTTAGCTAAAGGAAAGGCAGCATTAAAAACAGAGACAGAGACAAAAGCATGTATTAAAAGTACTTATACAAGAACAGCAAACAATAAGAATCCTCTTATAGCTCTGTGTGCCAGGCACAAATTGATAATTTCATATATATTATTTGATCCTCATAACAACAAAAGTGCCAAGTGGGTACGTTATTACATCCATATTATAGATGAGAAACTGAGTACTTAGTCTAAGATCACAGAGCTAGTAAACGGCCAATTGAGAACTGAGCGTAGACAGTCTAGCTCAAGAATCTGGATGCATAAAGAATGGAGAAAGGTTGCAGTGGCTAGAACTTGAGAAGGAGAAATAAGAAGGGACCAGGTCCTGTTGGGCCTTATGGCTATGTTAAAAGAGTTTGGCTTTTAATAGTGGTTGAACACTATTGACAGATAACTAAGTGGGGATGTAGTGAGGTGGATCTTGCTTTTTGCTAGTCAGTCTGGCTGCATTATAGACAGAGAACTTGACGAGCTCCCTCTGAGATTAGCAGGAGAAAAACACCTTTCCTAATTGTCTCCATGTTTGCTATACTCTGCAAAAACAGCATTGTTATTTAACAGTCAACGCTATAGCATAAGAGAATAAAGTGTTTGCACATATTGCTGACACAGGAAAGGTTATATAGTGTTTTTTTGTTGCAGGGCTGCACCCCACAGGCCTACAAGGCCTATACTTGCCTAGCTTCAAGACTGAAGAGAGGCTGGAGTTAGCTACAGAGACATCAGTGATTTATTGGGTGGGGGCGCTTACGTGTCTGAAGCAAGGTCCTGAAGCAACACCCCACTGTGTGCAGCAGAGAGCAAGCAGGACATGGCGGCCGTCTTCTCTCTCTCCAGAGGTTGCGGTTATAGGAGGAATTGACACCAGGTGGGCTTATTAGCTACCAGGGGCATGCCCCTCCCCTCCCCTTTGATGAGAACAATCATCAGCTGGGGCCTGGGGGCAAGTGCTTAGCAAGGTTAATCAGGAGCAGGGTGTAGGTGAAGCAGGCACTGGTCCGGCGGGAGACAGCCATGTTGGGTGGCCTGACTATTCATTTACGCAAAAGATATTGAATATTAGATATGAAAGAAATGGAAAAAAATATGTCATCTGCATACCCATGCATACAATGCATGTGTGCTAAGTCGCTTCAGATGTGTCCAATTCTTTGCGACTCTACGGACTGTATGTAGCCTGCCAGGCTCCTCTGTTCATGGAATTCTCCAGGCAGGAATACTGGAGTGGGTTGCCATGCCCTCCTCCACAGTATCTTCCCGACCCAAGGATCGAACCTGTGTCCCTTGTGTCTCCTACATTGACAGGCAGGATTTTTACCACTAGCGCCACCTGGGTTGCCCTCAGAGCACATATTGACACTTAAGATGTAATAACACATGACAAAGTCACACTTTGTTGTTGCTGTTCAGCTGCAGTTCAGCATCAGTCCTTCCAGTGAAAATGCAGGATTGATTTCCTTGAGGATTGACTGGTTTGATCTCTCTGCAGTCCAAGGGACTCTCAAGAGTTTTCTCCAACACTGCAATTCGGAACATAAGTTCTTTGGAGCTCAGCCTTCTTTGTGGTCCAACTCTCACATCCCTGCATGACTACTGGAAAAACCACAGGTGACTAGATGGACCTCTGTCAGCAAAGCGATGTCCCTGCTTTTTAAGACATCGTCTAGGTTTGTCATAGCTTTCTTTCCAAGGAGCAAGTGTCTTTTTAATTTCATGGCCACCAGTCATCGTCCACAGTGATTTTTGGAGCCCAAGAAAATAAATTTTTGGAGCCCAAGAAAATAAAATCTGTCACTGCTTCAACTTTTCCCCCTTCTATTTGCTATGAAGTGATGGACTGGATGCCATGATCTTAGTTTTTTGAATGCTGAGTTTCAAGCCAGCTTTTTCACTCTCCTTTCACTTTCATCAAGAGGCTCTTCAGTTCCTCTTCACTTTCTGCCATTAGAGTGGTGTCATATCTGAGGTTGTTGATATTTCTCCCAGCAATCTTGATTTTCCAGTTTGTGATTCATCCAACCTGGCATTTCGCATGAGGTACTCTGCATAGAAGATAAACACTCAAGGTGACACTAGACAGCCTTGTCATAGTCCTTTCTCAGTTTTGAACCAGTCCATTGTTCCTTGTCTGGTTCTAGCTGTTGCTTTTTGACCCGCATACAAGTTTCTTAGAGGACAGGTAAAGTGGTCTGGTATTTCCGTCTCTTAAAGTATTTTTTAGTTTGTTGTGATCCACACAGTCAAAGGCTTTAGTATAATCAATGGAGCAGAAGTAGATGTTTTTTCTAGAATCCGCTTGTTTTATCTAGGATCCAAAGAATGTTGGTAATTTGATCTCTGATTCCTTTACCTTTTCTAAACCTAGATTGTACGTCTGGATGTTCTTGTTCATGGACTGCTGAAGCCTAACTTGAAGGATTTTGAGCATAACTTTACCAGCATACGAAATGAGTGTAATCGTGTGGTAGTTTGAACATTCTTTGGCATTGCCCTTTTTTGGGATTGGAATTAAAATTGACCTTTTCTAGTCCTATGGCTGCTGCTGTGTTTTCCAAATTTACTGACACACTACACAATACATATAAGAAAAAATTTATTTGTGATTGTAGATAGTTTCCTGATAATTCCTCTATGCAAATGTAAGGCAAACAACTTGAGATATGATTTGCAAGGAAAGATGGATGACTCATATCCAAGGATTCAATGAACTTGATGATTTTGAACCTCATTTCCTCAATCTTGGAAGCTGATTCAATGTTACAGGTGACACTAGCCTACATACAAAGCTTTTAAAAAAAGTTTAGAAGCAGTAGAATCTCTGTAACAGCTCTTCAACTATCACTTAATTGAAGGTTTGGTTATGCAGTTATCCTAGCAGAAACACAAACTTCTTAAGGTAGGTACCATGTCATATAACTCTTCTTTTCCATACTATCTGATTTAATACTTTTCCCTTGTACCTGAAAAAAAAAAGCGTAAATGAATGAATGAGTGGTGAATTAACAAATGAATAAAGAATGTTGTCAAATGATTGAAGCCACACTTTATTTTCTTTAGGTATGCTCATAGATTTCTATGGATATTCAGCAAACATAGCTTGAGCCTTGTTAGTCATCAGTTCACAGTGAATGCAAATCCCTGCTATATTTATAATCTGTTTCACAGAGGACTAGAGAGGTAAAAATACAAAACTCACTTTCTGCACAAAGAGGTCTGAATGCTGTAGTACATAAAGGATGTGCAAGAATAGAGTCTGCTGAGTATTGAAAATCAGTAGGTAATTCCTAACAGGCATTTCCAAAATTTTTTGAAAGTTGGATTTCGTTTGTCAAACATATTATTAAGGTTAAATTTAGTCAAGAGGAACCCACTGTGTATAGCCGGAAGACCAATGAAAACCAAGAGGATTACAGACCTGGCATCTTATAAGTAGTCCTAACACCTAACCAAGTATCTTTAAAAGAATATATACAGCAGCTTTAAGTTTCTTTTTGAAAATATCATTATGGAAAAACTTCTATTTTATTATAATTATTTTGATAAAAAAACATGTTTATTCTTCAAAGTGTTAAAAAAAATAAACTGCTGTTTGAGTCATTAAAATAAACTTTGTTATGCATTGTAGCTGAGTTTGTTTCTTCTTTATTTTTCTTTTCTGCTTTACAAATTGGAAGGTTTTCATTTTTTTTAAATCATAGCTATACAGATTTTTCAGCTTAAATTTTCTTGTGGCATCTAGAATGAAGTCTCATAAACAAGGTCACATATCACTAATAAAAAATGAGGATTATTTTGCTTACTACTCAGAAGGCATTAGTCTGTAATTCTCCACATGAAATTCATTTAGAAAGTAGCCCAGTAGTAGAAAAGTTCAGGAGGGGGTCAGGGGTGGGTCCAGTGAAGAGAGGAAGTGACAGGTGTCGCCATGACTACACTCCGCACAGACATATTTCTGGCCATCCTTGTGCAGATTATGCAGTGATCTGGAACAACCCAAACTCTCAGCACAGGAATTCTCCACTTCTGGAAACACGGATCTCCACTTGCCACCAACCACCTGCTCCCATGTTAAGTAAAATGAAAAGAAGTTGTGTGATGTTAAGAGAGGAGAGAGCTGCTGTTATGGTTTTTACAAACATCAAATGTTTTTGTTTGGTGCTTTGCAGTCTGTGATGGTTAAATTTATGTGTCATGTTGACTTGGCTAAGGGAAATGCAGATAACAGGGAAGACATAATTTCTGGGCATGTTTGGTGGGGAGTGTTTCCAGAAGGGATTAGCATTTGAACTGGTAAACAGAGTAGAGAAGATCTTTCCATTTCTAAAGTTATAATTAGTTACTGTGTGCCAAAACCTATATTAGATGAATATTTCATGCAAAGATGGGTACAATAAAGGACAGAAATGGTATGGACCTAAGAGAAGCAGAAGATATTAAGAAGAGGTGGTAAGAATACACAGAAGAACTATACAAAAAAGATCATCATGACCCAGATAATCACCATGGTCTGATCACTCACCTACAGCCAGGCATCCTGGAATGTGAAGTCAAGTGGGCCTTAGGAAGCATCACTATGAACAAAGATAGTGAAGGTGCTGGAATTCCAGTTGAGCTATTTCAAATCCTAAATGATGATGCTGTGAAAGTGCTGCACTCAATACGCCAGCAAATTTGGAAAACTCAGCAGTGGCTACAGTACTGGAAAAGGTCAGTTTTCATTCCAATCCCAAAGAAAGGCAATGCCAAAGAATGCTCAAACTACCATACAATTGCACACATCTCACATGCTAGTAAAGTAACGCTCAAAATTCTCCAAGTGAGGCTGAAACAGTACACCAAGAGTGAACTTTCACATGTTCAAGCTGGATTTAGAAAAGGCAGAGGAACCAGAGACCAAATTGCCAACATCTGCTGGGTCATTGAAAAAGCAACAGAGTTCCAGAGAGACATCTATTTCTGCTTTATTGACTATGCCAAAATCTTTGACTGTGTAGATCACAATAAACTGTGGAAAATTCTGAAGGAGATGACAACACCAGACCACCTTACCTGTCTCCAGAGAAATCTGTATGCAGGTCAAGAAACAACAGTTAGAACTGGACATGAAAAAACAGACTGGTTCCAAATCAGGAAAGGAGTACGTCAAGGCTGTATATTGTCACCCTGTTTGCTTAACTTATATGCAGAGTTCAGTTGAATTGAGTTCAATTCAGTTGCTCAGTCATGTCTGACTCTTTGTGACCCCATGGACTGCAGCACGGCAGGCCTCCCTGTGCATCATCAACTCTTGGAGTCTACTCAAACTCATGTCCATTGAGTCGGTGATGCCATCCAACCACCTCATCCTCTGTCATCCCCATCTTCTTCTGCCTTCAATCTTTCCCAGCATCAGGGTCTTTTCCAATGAATCAGTTCTTCACATCAGGTGGCCAAAGTATTGGAGTTTCAGCTTCAGCATCAGTCCTTCCAATGAATATTCAGGACTGATTTCCTCTAGCATGGAATGGTCGGATCTCCTTGCTGTCCAAGGGACCCTCAAGAGTCTTCTCTAACACCACAGTTCAAAAGCATCAATTCTTCAGTGCTCAGCTTTCTTTATAGTCCAACACTCACATCCATACATGACTACAGGAAAAACCACAGCCTTAACTGGACAGAGCTTTGTTGACAAAGTAATGTCTCTGCTTTTTAATATACTGTCTAGGTTGGTCATAACTTTTCTTCCAAGGAGCAAGCATCTTTTAATTTCATGGCTGCAGTCACCATCTGCAGTGACTTTGGAACCCCCCAAAATGCTTAGTTTTCTGAATGTTGAGCTTTAAGTCAACTTTTTCACTTCCCTCTTTCACTTTCACCAGGAGGCTCTTTAGTTCTTCTTTGCTTTCTGCTGTAAGGGTGGTGTCATCTGCATATCTGAGATTATTGGTATTTCTCCCGGCAATCTTGATTCCAGCTTGTGCTTCTTCCAGCCCAGCGTTTCTCATGATGTACTCTGCATATAAGTTAAATA